TTACACTGTAAATTAATGAAAGTGGGCAGTTATAGATTTTTATTCTGAAATGTGGGGCATTTGCCGCTGGGAGGTTTCGATGCCCCTCAGCCACAAAAGAGAGTAGTTTAATTTTAAGTTGCTCCCTTTTGCCTGGGGGGGATTCCCCAGACCCCCCGGTGGTATATTACACTGTAAATTAATGAAAGTGGGCAGTTATACATTTTTATTCTGAATTGTGGAGCATATTCCTCTGGGGGGTATTGATACTCCCCAGTCACAAAAGAGAATAGTTTAATTTTAAGTTACTCCCTTTTGCCTGGGGGGTATTCCATACCCCCCAGACCCCCGTTGGTATGTTACACTGTAAATTAATGAAAGTGGGCAGTTATAAATTTTTATTCTGAATTGTGGGGCATATTCCTCTGGGGGGTATTGATACTCCCCAGTCACAAAAGAGAATAGTTTAATTTTAAGTTACTCCCTTTTGCCTGGGGGGTACTCCATACCCCCCAGACCCCCCGGTGGTATATTACACTGTAAATTAATGAAAGTGGGCAGTTATAGATTTTTATTCTGAATTGTGGGCATATTCCTGTGGGGAGCTGGGAGGTTTCGATGCCCCTCAGCCACAAAAGAGAGTAGTTTAATTTTAAGTTACTCCCTTTTAGTTGGGGGTATAAGGATAAGGGAATAAGGGAGCTCATCCCACTGGGAGTGTGTGGAATTGTGAGGCCACAAAAGAGATTTGTTTCATTTTGAGTTCCTTCTTTTTGGCTGTGAGGGCGGGGTTGATCTGATCAGTGCACTTGTAGCTTTCCCTCGGCATTCACGGGACATTGGAGCTGGCGGCATTGGCCGTAATCGGAGTTGAGCTGGTGCTCAAACTGCGATGGATCGGCTGGGGGGCGGTTTTGAAACACAAGCGCACGATGATTAAGGTAAGCCATCGTTTCGGAGTAGGGAGTTGACCTTTTAACTGCAGGGCGTCACGTTGGTTATTATGGTTTTGGAGGCGCTCGTGATGCTCATCCGGCAGTCGTCGCACTTTCGCGTGACTCGAGCGCTGAGACCAATTTTTCTGGTGGACACGCGGGCGTGCGGCGGAGTGCGACGGTTCATAAGACAGATACTTCAGTCTCTACCTCCGATTCTGGACATGCTGGCCTTGCTGATGTTTCTCGTCTGCAGCTACGCGTTGCTCGGGTACTTTCTTTTCGGGCACACTGCTTCGAATCCGTACTTTAAGACGTTGACGGACAGTTTCGTTAGCATGTTTGTGCTATTGACAACTGCCAAGTACGTACTGGGCGTCTCGTTAGACAATTATTTACATACTGCCTAGCTTTCCAGATGTAATGATGCCGTCGTATGCGGTTTCGAAGTGGTATGCCGCTTTCTTTATATCGTATCTCTCGACTGCTCTCTAC